TAAATTTTTCAAATTGATACTAGCATTAAGAATCCTGTCTATAGTGACTACCTGTCCATAAAAAAACAGATTTTATCATGACTGATTGGTCTTCTCGGTCAGTTTTCACTGTAGGTTTCGTGTTAACAATCACCAGGTCTTTTCAATCAGACTCCATTCAGACTCAAAGGAAGAAATCCAAACAGGAGGACTGAAAACAAAATAATCTCTTAATCGACAACATGTTGCATGAAAACTGATAACATTTTAAGAAATTTCAGTACATTTAGAGTACATCTCGAGAACATCTTGTAAATTTGAGGAGCACAGAATCGGAAACACATTTGAACAGTTTTTGTTACAACAAAAGTGTAGTTTTGTGTTACCTGGTTGTTCCAAGCCTTCCTGTAGCCGTCCCGCCCGCTCCACACATACAGCCGGCTGCCGATGTTCACGGCACAGTGTCCGGCGCGGGCACGTGGCACCGAGTCCTCAAACACTTCCATGGCAAGGGGCTCCCATGTCATCGTTTCTGAGGGGGAAAATAATAGTAGGGTTATACATTATCCGAGGCACCATAACACCAGAGTGCTACCATCCTCTTTCCAGATATAGAAGGATTCCTACCTTTATATAAGAACCTAGATACTACATACTTGGATTCTAAATGGAAAGGCAGCAACGTTTGATCTTAGTAAAGGTAAATCCTGCAAAGTGCAACATGTTTCTGGGGGGTAACATAGCAGGTTTACAAATGTATGAATGTCAAGAACTAAGTCTTAGATGCTATGGTGATTGCATACTACTTTACAAAGCTTCCTGGAAAGGCTGACAGTGATGTTACGATCATAGCAAAGTTAAACGGTAAATTCTAACCTTCTGCCTGCTGCATAGCACAAGTCTGGAGTATAAATTCTACCTAAAGTAGGTGCCACCTCAGCCAAGAGATGGCCATTGCAGTAGGGTCATTACTTGGGTGAAACAGAGTGGAGTACAATTTATTGATTCACCCTAACAGGGTATATACATTCTCTCACAATTACAATGTTGAAGGTTGTGATAAGTGGTCAACTGTGGTAATAAAATGTCCCTAAATTGGAGCTGTATTGCTTGTGTGTGTCTCACACGAAGACACAACATTTGCCACTTAAGCACGGACTCCAGTCATCTTCTTGCTGACAGAGCTGTTTTCTAACCTACGTGATCACAATCTCCAGAAACATCACATTTGTTGTGTCCTCTAAACTGCCTAACTCTACTACCACTGCCTGAAGCTTTCAGCACTCCTGCCTAACTTTCAACCTATTATCTACACATCATCACAGTCCCATCAGGTTAACAAGACAGAGAGGCCTTCTGTCCATTCACATACTTGTCTTCTAATGTGCCACCTGTATGGCTTTGAACATGTAATACACATTTGCTGGCTATCCTAGTATACCTCTAATAGAGTGTACTCAATTTGCTAAAGATGAGTCCATTCTGGAAGATTAAGGAAGAATACAAATCCCACAGTAGATTGGGACAACTGTTACCAATGTATGAAACCTTAATCTGGGATGACAACATTAAGAAGAGATGGTCTGGTATCAATACTACGGTGTGGTAGAATAGAGTGTTGGATGATGCTATAAAACTGTAAGACACAGTGGAAGGAAATAGCTTGTAGAATAAATGAGCAAATAAAAGCAAACTTAAATTTAAAAGAAAGAATTACTTTAAAGAATGTTTCTGTAGGGTTCCTCCCCGAGTGTTTAAAATGGAAAGACCCCAGTCGGAGCCAAACCTGTTAAGTATTCAGGTCACCTCTCCCTAACTCTCTATCCACTCAGGCTGGTTTTCATCTGACTTCATGTCATGTATGAATTATTACTCCATCTACAAAGGCCACAATTTGTCACAAGTCATTTCCTGGCGGTTCCCAACAGCCAGACTTACGATTCAGGACACGTCTGCAGTATCCCGGTGTAATACTCTGCTCTGTTGACTCCTGTGAGAGCTTTCAGAGCATGATGTCTCGACTAGGCTGTTTTGCTTTGGATGTAAATGATCTTGACACAGTCCTGTCAGCTTCAATTTTCCGTTATTGTGTAGCCAAGTGCACACTGTGCAGGATATGGAAAGAAGGGCAACTACTGTGTTTTAGTTACCACAATTTCCTTTGATTACTGTTTCAGTAGTTTTTCCTGGTTATTCTGACCATTCATCATTAATTTTTCACAGAACTTTGAACATGCCATGTTTACTGAACTAAAGCTTGTTTTCATTGATTATTGGTTACCAAGAGCCATGGAGTCAATTTGAACATATTTCTACAATCACTAAACAACTGAACACACACACAATGTTATAAATCCATCCATCTATCCATCCATCCTATTTTGGCATCATATACATCAAGTCTCCAGTCCATGTGGTAAAGGTAATTCCTACACTCTGTATCCTATGATTTCCCCAGTAGTTATTGATTGTTCGTGTTGGGTGATTTGCAGGCTGAAGCCGGGGCATAAGTTCTCATTATTCTGGCCATTACCGGGGTGCAGTGCCTTCATGCCCGGCCCCCGCGGCGCATTAGTGACCACCGGGCACATTTCTCACTGTCTACAACCATCCACAGTTCAGCACCAGGGTGAGATGTCCAGGCAGATATGGCACAGTAGGGCTAATAATAATCGTAGAGTGGAACTAGCTGCCACCATGTACAGAAGGGGCATCATCACTATAGAGCTTTAACAATGCTAGCAGTTAGACGTGCAAAGATTAGGTGTGACAGGTTGTCCAGCTGCCACCATGCCGAGTGCCTTTTACCCTATTTTCCAAAACAATCTTTGCCAAAATAAGTAGGTTAACCTTTGCAAATGAGTAACTGATCTACACACAAGGCAGATTACATTTAGTCAAGTCAATAAGAGCAGTCCAATATATGACTCCACAGGTTTATAGGTTAAAGTTGTTCCTACATGTTGTCACGAGGAAATGTTGGCAGCCCAGAGTGTTGGACTGTACCACTTACCCAGGTTGAGGGAGGCCAGGGTGTTGGTGCATTTCCACTCCTTCTCGTGCGTGGCCACCTTCTGGTCGTCCATCACCAGCGGCACCCACCCGCCAAACACAAACATTCTGTGTACGGGGAAACAACAACATCCTGGTCACAAGTACGCAAGAACACAAGACCTAAAAAACTGACCAACCCAACATATACTGTACACTGTACATCTTGAAATATTCATGGTATTTGTAAGTTGGTGGTTTTCACCATCACTTCTCAACTGCAAACTCATTACACCTGTGATTTTGGCTGTGAACTGGTGACAGCATTTTTGTAGTCTTGTTGCCATAGTTTCAACCACAGACTGAACGATATTGTGACCTCTTGATCTATACTGCAGCTCAAACAGATAATTGAATTCACAGAACAGGAAAACATCAACATTTTGGTTAGCTATGAATGCAACCAAGAAAAAATACCAGTCTGGTAAAAAGTGCAAGACTTTTAATGTTGTTTGAGATTGGATTGGGAAGTTAATATGTTTAAGAAAAGATTTCTTTTTCTTCAAGACCTTTCAAGTTATATTAAATAAAACAATTTTCAACTGACTAGCTAACAAACCTCATTTGGTTTGGCTGCTGGAGCTAATATAACCATGTTGCTCTGTTTCCAGGCTTGTTTCCAGGTTGAATATTCCATGTTCCCAGGATATGAATAATATATAACACGCCTGAGGCCAAACTATGCTGCTGGAATTGATTTTTCCACACTGGAAGCAAACATCATCTACAAAATCACAACAGAGCTTTATAAAACCCGTGTTGTTTTAAGTATGGAAACAAGGTAATAATTCAAATAGCAGAGAAGCAATTTTCATGTTTCTGAGAATTGTTCCTATTTGCCCGTGTTGAGGCTTTAAATTGGTACGTTTCACTAATTATCCACAGGAACAGTAATAGTCCCAACAGGCCTGTGCATCTCTAACTAAGTAATTACTTTTGCACCATTCCAATCAGGCTACAGTGAAAAACATTCATATCGACATAAATCCTGCTAAATTGTACCATCATAATAAAAAAATGTGACTAATTCTGCAATTCAATATGAGACCTATAAAACACTTAGTTCCTTTGTTGACATAATTAGTATAAGACTTATTACTTAAACAAGGATTTCATACGGAAAACAACCTTGGCAGCAGTAGAGATAAAGATTGGTTCATAAATATTACATGGGCTAAAACATAACATCAACGCATTCCCTATCGCTTCTGGCTACAGGAATTGTTATGTCCCGACATTTCCATTTGGCAAAGTTTGATGAGAAACAGTTCCACGGATTGTTTCTAATTTGTATACCCTTCAAACGACCTTGGCAAGGCTACTGAAAAATTGCTTTCGCCCCAAGCACCTTCTGACATACATATATTACCATAGAAATGGTGCTCCTAAAGAGCAAAGAGAACAATTCATGCCTATAGCTTAAAACAGTGGGCCTTGACAATATACAAAGCCGTCAAGATAAACTATAATCCTTTATATTTTGATATTAGCTAATAAATTGTATGTCTCATTAGAATAGAGCCTGCCCATTGTTATTACATACATCAATTTTGGATATTGTCATTAGAATTGAAATACGAGAGCTTGGCAACTTACCATATTTCCCTCCCCGCTTGTAAAACAGCATAATGTTCAACCCAGCGTGTCCCCACATGCAAATCATGGGTAGTCATGCACACAGAGGGCACCCTGCACGAAGGGTATTAGCCTGACTACCCCACAAATCTCCTATCTGCCAGCACTTGGCCCTGATCCCACACGGGAACCTCAAGGCCAACACCTAATCTCTAACCTTTTGTTCACAACTTTGGCAAATCTTGTTGATTCAGCAGGATAAATCCTTCCACACAGGAGACTGGTGTTAACTTGCATTATGTTACCTCATGTTGGCATTTAGCTACAGGGTATAAAAGTGCGAACTGAGAAGTTCACGTTAACTTAATTACACACTTCTGTACCAAGCAGCACTACCACCTACATATGCAGCTGTAGGGGTTAAAATGGCTTTTTGAAGTATATCCTACATAGCTTGTGGCACGGCTTACAGCAAATCTGCAACAATATACATTGCAGTTGAAAGACAGCAGTTTGCTGAGTCGTGTTGGGCATTAAATTTTCACGGTAAATTACTTTCAACTTCATACCAGATTAATTACCCTAGAGGGAAATGATGGCAGTTGAAGTTTAAGGCGTCATATAAGTAATTACGCTTTAAGTCAGATACTTGTGAAATATATGTGAATAAATTTAAAAAAAAATTAAATCTGACCTGTGACTGATCTGTGTAGCAGAGTGCAGACTGCGAGGGAGTGGAGCGATGCCGTTCACAAGGGGCTTTGTCCACGAGCTCGTTTCTGTAAAGAAAAAAGCAACATTGTACTATATTCTGTACCAAAGTGTTCCACAAGGGTGGAGAAACAAAAGAAAAGGATGCTGTAACTATCAGAAGGCTGGATCAGAGGAACGAATGTGTTGCAGTTCTTGTAATACTACTTTACTACTGGAAATGTGTTGGGAACTTTATTTAACTTACATACTTGTCTACACTGCTTGTTGCAACCAGTGGAAGAATAGCGAATAGCCTTTTCACAAGCTGAACTACACTGGTTCTCAATCACTGAAGAAAGACAGTGGAGGCTATCTATTTTGTATTGCATATACTGAGACCTCAACAAGCACATGTACACTGGTACATGTAGTAGTGTGTTAAACTGATGCCCCGGATCCATACCTATCTCCAGTTGCCACAGGTCCCCCAGGCGACAGCCGCTCATGCCGCCGTAGATAATGAGCCTGGGCCGCTTGCCGTCCTTGTCGGTGTAGGAGATACAGGTGTGGGACTCCCGGGGTGGGGGAGGGGTGCCGTACGTCTGCGGGATGTCCCACGCTCGCACGTCTGACTGGGGCTTCAACTCCAGCGTGTATAGATCATTCAGGTATCTGTGGAAGAGGCAACAACTATGAGTACCATACCTTAATTACGAGTGAGATTCGACTTCATCTACAAAATTGATTTTATCAAGGCTATGTAAACATGTTTTTTAGTTATCTACTCCATTAAAGTGGTTTTGGCAATGTCTAGGATATCTGTAGGTAGAAAGGGAACAGCTTTGTATATCAGATCTTGTTTGTAAATTGTAAGATTCAACTCCATTTTGGAGAATGCTGTAAATTATCTTTGAAAAAGACCAAAATACAATGATATATGAAGTTTCTATGATTACCAATACTCTGGAGACATCTATAATGAACTTGATCTTAGTTGTAAAAAGTTCCATTTTGAAAATCATTGTATTTGCATCTTTAGAGGTTACCAAAATACAGATTGTGAATGTGATACAGTAACTAGTTTATAAGAACACACTGTAGAAACAAACACCAAGTAATGGTTAACAACCTTTCTCCTGACCTTGGTATGTTGTTCTTGGGGTCCTCGCTGTCGTTGGCCAGGCCCCCGAACAGGTAGACCTTGGTGCCGCACATGGTGAAGCTGTGGCCCAGGCGCGGGCAGGGGGGAGGACCGTTCTTGGGCGACTTGGGCTTTAGTCTCTTCCACTCCCAGCGACTGGCCTGCAGCTCGTATAGTTCATTCGAGTACTTGCCATACTCCACCATTCCCCCGAACACCAGGAGTCGGGTGCCGTCGCACACGAAGCCGTACGCGGCGCATCCCGGGGGTATGTCACCCCGCACCGCCGGCACGAACCACTGATTGGTGGCTGGGGAGAGAAAAAATTTTAAGATGTTTATTTATTGCACACTACATAACATAGAAACACATTTGCGCAATGACACGGGCCATTTCCACTGGCTTTTTTGGCAAAGGTTAGCTCCCCCAGGCTTTTCTGACAGAGGAGTTTCATCCCACTGGATCTTATGTGCTAAGGCTTTCTCCCTAAAACTTCAGAGAAAAAGCAGTTGATCATCATGGAACATACTAGCTAGTATATACTGATACAGGAAGGTTGATTTAAAACTTAAGTTTTACAGATATTTAAAATAAATCAACCAATAAACTTGTCATTTCTTTGATGAACACCTAAGTATCAACATTTTAAAGACATCCATGCTGTATCTGCAGTTCCTTTGAAATCTCACGGGTGGTGTTTTACCAATATTATTCCACTCAATGCACATTACAAGCCCAGACATGTTTCTGACAAACACTGACCTCGGGGTCAAACCTACCCATCAATTCTTATTTCCAAAAGGTCAAAACCTACATCTTGTACCCGCCACATCCTTAACTGCAGTTTGACATGCAAACGCCATAGAAATAGCCAATTAACTACCACTTGCATGCTGATGCCCCAATAGTAGCAGATCCCCTACAGCATGTAATAACCAACTGCCAGTATTGGAGAACACCGCTTTGTGGTATATAAATCTAATAGTTTATGCACCCGAACATGGGTTAATTCTATATGTCAAATACAGTATACTTCAACAAGCCAACCAAAGAAACATGTAGGTATTGACTGATTTTATCCAAATTTATGGACTGTGGGTACGACCCAAATCAGATATTTACCCAAAGCCGTGATGGAAATGACAATGCAAAATTTCCCTTCGCAAATTTTCGACTCCTTACCCAAACTTGGGTTGATATACTATAAGGTCATCAGGGAGGTTAAAATCACACAAGTGTTTGTCAACAATTCTATATGGAGTTATGACTGTGCTCTGTGACCTTGACCCAACTCTACAGCTTTGAAGGACACGCCTCCAAGGACTGGTAAAGAGCTGTCTGCTCTCAACCAACAATTTTCTAAGATTTCTGAGCACAAATGCTGCTTGACCAGTAAGGGTTGCACGGAATACAAAGTACATGTAGTGTTTTATTACAAGTAAGTTACAACTGGTATGTAAAAGTCCTTCAACTTCTAACAGATTGGATCTTGTGATTTATGAACAATTCTGCATATGATATGCCCAAGGGCAAAAATTTGTAGCATAGCATCAGCAGGGGACCTTTTCTCTCTTATGTTTATACATCAAGCACTAGTAGTGACATTTTCTCCCCCGCAAAAACGAGAGCAAAGGCTAGAAGGAGAAAAGAATGGATACCAGGCTGGTGATAGGTGGGGATGAGAATGTAATATTCATAGAACAGGTTGTTTATAAAGTTAAAACTAAACTTGAAATTGGAAAAACTAAAGGTGAAAATTTAGAATACTTTTGTTTGCAAACAGAATTCTTGACATGAATTTTCATATACATAGCTGACTGTGGAATGTGGAATGCAGGTTTTGCTTGAGGGAAAGAAAATGAGAATCAGGTATGCAATTGTCTACTTTATGTCCCTCCCTCTGAAGCAAATGGTCTATTCCAAATACCTGGGGCAAACCACAACAAAATTTAGCGCATGGAAGAAAGCAGGTCAGTCTAATCCTTCCCCTGCTACAGACCCATTTGTGCAAAAAATGGATTGGTTGAATCACTTGGGATGTGATAAGGACAGTCAAGGCAAAGCTAAGCCTGCATGTTTTAACAACTAGCTTTTTCCTCTTTGACTAGCATGTCTGAGTAAGATCATTAGTTTGGAATCACATTAATTTTTATTCAAGTTGCTAGTACATGAATGGATACCTGTTTTGTGACTTGTAAACACCCCATGCATGGAGAATGGGTACCTTAAGAATGATTGGATTTTACAAACAGTTTATGACTCTCAAGGGTTCCCAGGGAATTAGGCCATATGTCAAAATCAATATGTTGCCCCATAAAATGGGCCAATGATTAATTCACAGGCTTGGAAAAAATGTCGACCCACTTTGTCATTACTGGTTGTTTTATACGCTCATTTGTCTATCATATACTAATCATGTTTTGATTATTCTGTCAATAACCTTGATGAGGTTACATTTATCTTGTTTAGTTTTAGAATCAAAGCAAACTCAGACAGAAGGAAACCCATTACATGTACATGATGATTCATGTCTTAGAAATAATGTCAAGAAAAGCTGTTCCTACTTCCAAGATTGGATGACTTTGATAAAGGCACAACTTTTCAGCAATAGAAAAAAATTGCTAACTTTCCATGAAGCAAAAAATAATCATTTCATCCCACCCGTTCACTTCTTGAAACCTAAACTGAATGTTTGTGAAGTTTACAATCAATATCAACTTTCTCAAATGAACATCAAAGTAAAGCCTGTTTAAACAGTATCAACGAGCCAAGTCATTTTCCCGTAACAAAATACAGAGAAAAATTTACATACAATGAGACCAGGAAACTTTTAAACAAATTCAAAATTAGTAGATTTATTGGGCCAGGAAGACCCATAAAAAAATTTTATACAAATAATATCAACATTCAATTCATATTCAGAGTCATATGTCATTTCTTTCACAAAGCTGATAGAATATTACCAAGATTACAAACTTTAATAAAACTCATTAAATCAAAAAGTTTTGACATTTTATTTAGAAACAGAACAACCACTATTACTAGGGGAAATTTCATTAAAAGCAGCATAATTTTAGGATAAATGATGCTCCCAGTCATTACTCATGAAAGCCTAGTCCACATAACCTGTTGCACAATAACAAATACATGTACTGCAAAGCAATTATGCATGAGAAGTCATAAATTTTCGTATGGCCACTGGTTGCAAACCATTGCAAATGCTTTTGAAAAGTGGCAAATCTAATTCAACTGCTAATGCTAACAACCACTGTCCATTATATAACCAAGCCACACAACAAAACGTAATTGCTTGCTGTTGAATTTCGCACAAAAACAAAGTAAACAGTCCCCTAGCCCGTCCAAAGCGCTGAATGCCCCCCTCCCCTAACATTAGCATAAACAATCGGCGGCCATATTGATTTTGATTTTCAACAAATGACAGATGAGTTTGAATTAAATGTCACGAAAATGCAAATATTCACCATACTTTGCCGGTGAGGGGAGTTTATCTGGCCCGGTGCCAAATCTGACGATCAGCGGTGAGCGGCAAATCGCGCGGGCTCAGCCGACGTTATAAACAGTTTGGTTTAAAATATGGCTCCCCCATGAAAAAACACCGGGCGCCGCCATATTGAATTTTACCCATCTAACAAAACCGGGATATCTTCCGTAAAAATGGAAGACAAGACGAAGCGATTACAGAAAATTGTGCCAAACGAAGTCGGCAACCTGATCTTGGAGGAAGAGACCTCGATGCCATTGGAAATGATCTTGGCGCCAAAGATTTGACGATAAACAACAAAAGGACGCCATTTTGAAAACAAGCAAGCCAAGCGGGGAGGGCGAGCTTACCTGTGTTGTACACGTGTAATTCGTCCACGATGCCCTCGTTGCCGCCCCCGAATACAACCATGAGATCCTTAATAGCAACGGCACGGTGGCCATGCCGAGGCCGCGGCGTCGGGCCGGTTGTGCCCGTCACACGCCTCCACTTCAGGACGGGAGCCGCCATCTTGAGCTACCCACAATGCTGGGGGTGGGCGGGGGTTTCTACAGCCACGGCGTTTCGCCTCCACAAATCTATGCAAATGAGGGTGTTCAGAATAAACCGACCAATCAGCGCGGCGCAATGATAAATATTGATTAAGTAGTCCGCGAGGCGCTGTGAGTTTAGACACCTCTGGGGGTAGGCGCCACAGAGTTCCCGGATGTTGTAAACAAATTTTTCTGCCTTTTCTTTTGCTCGAAGAATTTTTAATCCCACCCTGTTCTTGAACGGAAAATCTGCATTCGTTGCAAACCGAGGAGAGTTAGTGATTGAATCTCGATAATTTGGAATAAAGATTTATTTGAGGGACGCTTGCCCATCATCCACCCACATAATTATGAGATATCCCGGATGTTCATTTGCATCTTTGACAGTCTCGTACCCAGGGTCAGGTGAGAGCGAGAACTGGGAACGTTCCACACTTCCGGGTTGGGTAAAGTACAGCCCCAGTGGAGCCTCATTGTTTTGATAAAGCGCTACAAAGCACTAAATGGTCAAAGGTACATAACTACATTATCCCAGTACGCATTGAAACTAGATTTGTAGCTGTGTAGAGCTGTCATTTATCTAAAATGCGTAACTCAAGCAGTATTCCACTGTAAATGGATGAACAGGTGCACGGCACATGCATGAGCATGGTTCTACATACAGTAACAAGGATTTTTGAAAGCTCCCTGGTAGTACCAAGCTATAGCCTGCTATGTAGAACGTCAAAATGACCTGGTGTTTTCTTGTTGATTGCATGCATACTTATCTGCTGCAGTTCAACTTAAAATCATCTAAAGCATAGATTTTTGGTGGATGTTTGATAGGTGATGTGAATGAATGATGTATTGACTAGTGCTGACTGAAATGCCATAGAACTTAATGACCAGCCAAAGTACAGTAGTGATTTTAATAAACTGACATTGTCTGATTTTTCTCTGCAAGACTCTGACATGGACCACGTTGTGAGAAGAGCTGCCATCTCGGTCCTTATTCCAGTTGCCATGGCAACGGCAATCACGTGGCTGGGCTGTTTTGACAGCGTGGTCACTGAGCTCGGCTTCCAACACTACGGCGAGCACCCTGACCACAGCATCCCCTTCTTACCCTCCCAACTCAAGATGCCTGCCAACACACTGGTCAACATGGGGTACACCCTCCTCGGAGTCATGTGGATTCGCAAGTTTCTTAAAGACAGAAACGACGGCACCATTACAGACCGCGACCTTTCTGTAGGTTCTGTGTTCTGCTGGATGGCGGTGGTGTATGGACCGGTCCAGTTGCTGCGTATCGTGAGCCAGCAGCACAGGTTCGCCGTGATGGACCAGTGGTGCACCCTGCCCTTCTTCGCTTGGGTGGTGGTGATGAGCGATTACCTCATGCAAGGATGGAACACGAGAAGGACTTTAACTGTGATGGCGTTTTCATGTGCAAGCTATGCCCTTGCTCTTGTTCATGACCTTGGTTTTGAGGTTGCTCTAGGGGTTCACATACTGTTTGCCGTACTGTATGGCATGCAGATTTTACAAGCAAGCCAATCGAAACTGCTGAAATCAAAGCTACGCTGGGCATTGCTGATGGCAATTCTATCTTGTGCAGGATTTGTTGTGTTGAAGCTCCTTGACTTGCACCTGGCCAGGTTTTCAGTGTTTCATCGGTTCTCAGGACATTTCTGGTCCAAGGTGGCAGACATAATGCAGATACATTTTGTATGTAAGTTCTTTCACCCCATCATGGAGCAAAATGCCAAGAATAAGAAAATATGAAATGTAAGGTGTTAGGTTAAAGTTTAAAAGAACTTACCAATAAATGCATGTGTTGACATTGTATTCAGCCTTTTTTATTGCTCATTGTTGTAGTTTTGCAAACAATAGAACATTACATGAATTACAAAAATGCGAGGAAAATAATTGCATGTGTACATGATCTCTTCTGTATATGTAATACAGCTCTTTTTTAAGAAAATAATTATATCTTTTGAAAAATTACTTCTGTCACAGATCTTCTTCCAAATAACTCTGCTTAATATCGGGTAACTGTAAAAACTGTTTTTACAGTTACCCCTTAATATCAGTTATTAAAATTTGTGTAAAATGTGTATTGAAAAATCTTCACCCTTTTGACATGGTTTATACTTGCACATATACCCAAACCTGAACAAGGCAATATGCCTGATACAAATGTCTAGTTTCTTGTAATTTGACACATTCCAAGAAAACTTGAAAAACATGATTCAGTATAACATATATACAAATACATTGTACTCTATTGTAATATTGTAAACTATGTAATTGAAATCACACATGAGACCTAAAATTGCAATGATATGGTAGTCTTGATGGCATCTCAAATTTCACTCTCCATCTCAATGTGTGTAACATCTGTAGCCTGGCCATCTTGTTGTGATTCTTCCTCTTTGGCTTCTTCCTTTGCATCCTGTGATAAATTAAAGACAAAAAGTTCATTGTAACATGTTGCAGATTAATCATAGTCACAACAAACATTTGTAATTGAAAATGACCCAAACATTTTGCACAGGCAATATTTCAGGAATGAAAGTTTTTTAAACAACCTGTCAGGAGAAACACGAAGTCTTTCTAAGAAATATCTTATGTTCCTCTGCCTTCCAAACAGATAATCTGCTACTTGACTTACCTCTGCTAAGGAGAAGAGTACTGCATCATGTACACTGATAAACAAGTTGTCACACTCGATTTTCTCAAAGAATCCACAAGACACAAGCTGGTCTCTGATGTTAGCTGGAAAAGGAAGATATAATATAAAGTTATATAAAAACTTAACTGGCTCCAAATATAGTGCAATATATCATGCCATCTACATTCATAAGGCACAATACTTGCAGGATACAATAAAGAAAATGCTTCACCTTTGCAGTGGGCCAGAAGAAACCTGACTCCAACACTTTTGTAGTCCTTATGTACCTGGTATGAGCAAAAAATTAAAAAATGATGACAAAAATGAGTCAATATCTAAGGTTACTGTTACAGTTTGCTACTATAACATATCTTTGCTGCTGCAATGTCATTTAATTTACATATGATGAAAAAATTTGAAGTCACCAAATGTAACGCTATCGAAGAAGACAAATCAGTACCCAGAAACTGTGTCAGTACCTGAGTAAGTGTGTTAACTGCCACAGAGTCCAGGAAGTTGAAGGGTCCACAGTCAAGGATCACTGTTTTCAACTTGGGTGTGGGAGGGTCTTCCACTTCCATTGGAATAAAACCATCCAACTCAACCATTTCCTGAGGGAAAAATGTATAACGTGTTAACATTAACATCTATTTTATCAAGTCTTGTTCTCCTTGGCAACATAAATATGGCATTTGTTGGCTTTTCTTGTTTCTCATGAAGTTTTGAAATGAAAAGGGTTATACAAAAGGACAGATAAATGGTACTCATACCTTCCCGTCCTGAGAACTTTTCTTGGCTTCTTTTGCTCTCTTCTTTTCTATCTTCTCTCTTTCTGCCTCTGCCTTTTTCCTCTGAGCCAGCAGTATGACGGGATCCACCCCTGTCTGTGAGTACAGGGACGTCTTAAAGTGGTCACAGTTGGAGAAGAACAGGGACATGTCAAACCTGAAGATCTTCACACTTGGGATCTCTTGAGCCTGTGTGTGACCAGGAAACAAGAAGTACCAGTTGACAACCTACAAACTTCCCAGAGTTCACTTTCCATTTCCACAAAAGGGACACTAATCCCAAGAAATATAGTAGCTGTTGTAAACATTAAGATATGAAGTAGAAAACCTGTTACTCCGTTTTTGTCATAGGTCATTGAGTTATGAGAGAGAAGGAAAGAGCCTGTGATGTTCCCAATATGGCTGAGCACACTGGGTATCATCCCTTAACTCTTCTCAATAAGTGTGTTGAGTTCTTTTACAAAAGTGTTTTGATGCCTGAGGATTCTCCATAAATAAGACCCACATATGTGATGGTACATGTATATGTGGGAAGCATTTGAGATTGATAAGTTTACGCTAACTCACAGCCTTGTAGTTGTGTATGTCTCTGTAGATGTCACAGTTGGGGACCTGCCCCAGTAGTGTGGTGGCTGGACGCTGTGAGCGGAACAGGACAGTCAGCAGGCAGAAGGCCATCCCTGTCCCCAGGCCAATGTCCAGCCCCAGCAGGACAACTGCCAAAAATGTCACCCACCAGATCACCTGCAACAAACAATTGTAAAAATATTAGCGACCAACCATTATGACTGAGAAATATACAAGATAAGAAAGAGATAAAAATGTGCTCAACTTGACACTAACAGTGTCATGATAAAAAATTGAAATGCAATTTTTTATTGCAAAGCTTGCTTTTTGTTTTGTATCTTGGATAGTCTAAGAGCAATGTACCAATGCTTTGTTTTAGACTATTATAGACAATGTAACTACATGCTTATCAAAATTACTGTAGTCAAACAGTGTCCAGAACAAAGCCTTACACAATGATTTGGAGTGCTATATATATGTAAAAGCACTGCAATTATGACTGTACCTTCCTGTGGAATGACAGTTACTTACAAAGTCAATTCTACTGGTCCTCCACAGTGGTTTGAGTTCAGAGAACTGCTTAAACATGTTCTTCACGTTCACCACCACGATCACTGCCAGCACGGACTGAAAGGGAGTGGAACAACTTTTTAATCATTTTGAGAAAAAAAAAGAACCCCAAAAAAGCAAGAGATGGAAATTCCATTATATTTTAATACTCAATAAGCATGTCACCAATATAATCATTTTCAAGCTCATTCATGTGTCTGCTCTTTAGTTCAAAAGATATACACATGTATATATTCTTCTAAAAAAACGTACAATCTGACTTGATCTGAAGAGAGGTCCCATAAACAGCAGCACCAGCAGCATTACTACACACTGCACCAGGGACATGAGCTAAGGATGGGAGAGAAAAACAAAACAAAATTAGTTCTTGGCCATGCTAAATAGAGGAACAACATTTCAGTGAAAACAGTTCAACTATCATCAAAAGTCGACTCATAGATTAATGAGTTGAATAGATAAATCAAACAGTAAACTACACCAGAATTAAAAACAGCTACTCAAGCAACTGGATATGATTTTGGAAACAGTCAGACGTTTCAGGTAGCATCCACTACATTTGGTCAGTGACACTGGAGAGATCTCAAAATCAGCAGGTTTACAAACATGAACTATTGATTGACACGCAAATGAAGTGAAGACAGATTTTTATTGGTCCAAACAGTAAAGTGACCACTCACACACCTGTGTTTTAGTACCCGCAGCCTCTCCTACTAATGTGCGTGAGATCGCTGTGGAACATACAAAACAAGAGAAGAAGGATCCAAACAAGTTGCTCGTTCCATAGGCAAGCAACTCCTGAAATGGGATGCAAAAAGGATTGATGCATCAATTATTTACAACCAGTTATGCTATGAAAATCTTCCAAATGTATTTTATATCCGTCATGTATTACAGATGTTATATCATGATCAGATATGTTTTTCTAAGGGAAATATGATAAGATCATGGCCTCCTTTTTACCTGGTTGGCATCTATTCCATAGGCGTACTTCTTGGAGAAGAGTTTGGCAATGGCTAGTGAGTAGGAGAAGGACACCAGTGAGATGGCCACACAGTCCGGGGCCACTTGACCGAAGAGGGACACTCGGGGGACTGTAGGTTTGGGCAGGCTGTGGGAAAGGAAACAAAATGTCTATTACATGTATCATATAGCCAGATGATGTTGATCAATCAGATGTCCCCATTTCATATTGTTTATGATGCTATAACCTTACCATCATCATTAAATCCCACAAATACTGTAACACTGGTAGATGTCATAACCTTACCAGTGGTGATTAAATCCCATAAACACTGTGGTGTTTCATTTCCAGGATTAAACTATATTTAATGGTTTAACTGTTTATTCTTTAGCACACTGAAGTAGCCTTTGGCTACCAATATTCCATTGGTTATTGGGTTAGGCAGCAGGAAGAATGTTATAACATAAAAGCATAGAAAGAAGTATATATACAAAATGTTTCAAAGTCCATCCTTACACATTTGTCATCACTGTAACAACGTGACTTACCCAGTGGGAATGACACCAACCACCTTAACACCATACCTCTCCTCCATTGAGGCAAAGTGTGACACTACAGTGCCGATGATGAGCTAAGAAACAAAACTTTCAAATTTAGAGATGTAAAAAAGGATCTGTATAATCATACAAATAGCAAAAATAACAAAATATCTGTTTGACTTATTGTCAGTTCCTACATGTGTACAATGTATTCTTTCTTGTGAAAGTAACTTCAAACAATTAAGATTTCAAGAATAAAAAAGGTGGTATTAAAAACAAAAGATCTGTAATCATGTTAACACACAAGAAATAGCAAATATAACGCAACATCTGCTTGACTTATTGTCAGTTCCTACATGCATATTTTTTCATGTGAAATTAACTTCAAACAATTAAATGTCATGCATAAAAGTAGGTAAAGGTGGTATTCAAATAAAGTTACCCACCACTATAAGTTCAGAAGGTATAGGAATGCCCTTTAACTTGTGTTTGTAGCGTAAGTTTAGCTCCTTCAGGACCACCAGTACAATGATGGAAATGATGGAGGTGACCAGGGTGGCAATGTTGGTCTGAGTGATGCGGCTGAAGATCGCAATGACTGTCTGGAGAGGGAGAGAGAAGTTGTCACCAGATCTGGTTAGAGATACAGCTTGGACTGTGTAGGAAGCTTTCAAGGCTGTATCTATGACCAAATGGTACAGTCAAACATGCACAAGGACCACCTGGCTGTTGTGGCCACTTGTTGGTGGTCTCTTCGATTCTGACAGAGAGAGAGAGAGATTTTTTTTTATTACTGACCAAAGCATTAAAAATCTTGTCTAAAGTGACAACCTGTCTACTGTAATATTTTCTTTAAGCATACTAAGTCGCCGCTACAGACAGGTTTGACTGTATATGAAAAAGCACCTTACATACTAAAGAACATATGTTACCAAACTTACCAACATCTAGATCTGTTTAACAATAAAGTTGCACAAAATCTCTTAAAAGGCAACTGGCAGGATATAGCCTGGGTACCATCCTGATTACTAGGTCTGGTGTGATAGTTGCTGGTGGGTAGCAAATATTAGTCTGCAGAGAGGATAAAGACTTGGGAGCTAATAATAAGATAAGTCTGGTAACCAGGCTAGTAAGTATGGGAGCGGACATAGACTAACCAGGATGGTACCAAGGCTAGTTAGGATAGGGACCTACATATACGATAGACAGAGGGCCTGAGTATCTTGGGATGTCCAGGCCAAACAGGTATTTGATCTGGCTGTTGACCACGTGGAAGGCAGCGGCGGTGGTGAAGGCACTGACCAGGGGGTCTGAGAGGTAGATAGTGATGAAACCCAGACGGAGAAGTCCCATGGCAACCTGTGATCAACACAAGTGTAGAGGTTGAACAAACAGTCAAATTATACTTCTATCTTAGAATTCAGGAGGACATAGTACACAGGGATATGCACATATGGGTATCACAGCAGGGCTCTAGCTAGCACCCATTTTCCTAGATTGTGAGCACTCTCCCAAGCAGGTCTGATCATGAACCTGGGCTGACGGAAAAAATGTTGAGCTAACTAGAGCCCTGTATCACAGATATGCATCTAGAGTGTATCATAAGGCACGTGAGAACACAAAAGTTTACAACAGCATCTCAAAGAGATACTTTACACTCAATGCAAAATCTGCATGCGAAAGCCTCTAGATTGTTTGTCTTTTCCTCTCTTCTCCTTGAAAAGCTAAAAGTGTTTAATTTTTCTATATATACTACCTGAAATATCCCTGACATCAGAGTCACAGCACCAGCAATGTACAGTCTTTCCTGGACCTCTGCCTGTTCAGCCTGGTACTGCAGCTCAGCCATAGTGGTGTTGGAGATGGTGGAGTTGTACAGGTCTGCAGGAAGCTGACCGGCACCTGCAGGAAGTAGTCTCTCTATTGTTGCACCCACCATTATACTCAACACTGCCATTACACCTGAAAATGACAGATAAAAAATTGCAACAAAAAGTACAGATCACGTGCAAGTTGAAATCTTATCATAAGTGACCTTGACAAACTATGTCAAAAGCTAAAGACAATCCAGAAGTGTCAATGCTTTTAAACTTACCTATAGATAAATGTCTGGATGTCCCCAGGAAGGCATATATGATAACAGGGAAGAAGGCTGAGTAAAGCCCATAGATGGGAGGGAGGGTGGCCAGCAAGGCATAAGACATTCCTGCAGACAATAAAGTACAGGTCCATTGTTATGAAACAAATCACACACAACACATTTCTGTCATTATTGGAATATAACATAGAATGTCATAAACTTATGAAGTTTCACAAGGTAATCTAATAGGCCCATGGCCTGCTGCGAGAATATCTGCATTGATTAGTTTCGAAACATATTTGTTGAAACACACATACGCAAACTCCACTATCCTAATAACATGACACTTTGGGAATAAAATAACTGTCTAGATGATATTTTGCTTCATCATACTTGATACGAGAATTATCTTTTTCATGACAGGCATTTGATCTGCAAATTTTGTTGGATAAAAATCTGAGCATGACTGTACCTTGTGGGATGTGCATGATGCCCACTGTTATCCCAGCTATAAGGTCACTCACAATGTTCTCCCTCACTTCATACTTTGGCAGCCAGGACAATATTGGAAGTGTTGAAAACAGCACCTTCTTCACCCTGTCTGTAGAACACCTGAAGTGAGACTTGAGCCTGTTGTGCATCACGTGGTGAAAGCCAACGTCGTTGGACACGATGGATCCTCTGGTTTTCTCCAGCTTGACCTCGTGGTTGTACTCCGGTGTGGTGAGGCCGGAGCTGGGCAGGCTGGACACACGCAGACGGGTGATGTTGTCAGCTGATCCATACTGGTCATTTTCCTGGGTGTCACTGTTGGTGGGTGTTGCCATGGTGATTGTTATGTTGATCCTGAAGAGAGAAAAGAAAGAAGTACATAACATGAAGATGGTATATCATATTTGAGCATATTTGAATTCCAAAATGTGACTGATGTTATTGTTTTTAATGTATTGGAATTCTGGTCACATTGTTTTGAATTCTCTTAAGTTAAAACCAAAGTAACAGTCAATGTCACCAGGACAGCCTTAAATTTTCTTAGCTACATTTCAGATCTAAGTCTAAAACGCAGTGCACCTGAAATCTTAGCAATTGTATTGTCAATTTGAGTTATTACACATCAACCTCGTTGAAGCTATTCACTCAGAAAGAGTGATACTGGTGGAAAGATAGTTCGTATCAAACCAAGGACATTATATACCAGGTACAAAAATCAAATGGACCCAGGTCCAACTTCTTCCCTGCAAGAACAACCCCAATTTGGAATAAACTGTCACCAGCAGCTCAGTAAATGTATTCAAGACCAAGTTGGCTATAGAGTGGAAGGATCACCCTGATAGATACGGATACATCTTCTCCTACTGAATGCCCAAACTGTCTACACCACGAAGACGGCCTCATTACCCAGTAAGGGTACCTAATGGCCTGGATTCAGGTGAATATTCAGGTGAATATATATATAGAGTGCTACGTGCCCAGTCCTTCTCAATATAATATCTTTGATCAAACTAGGTCAACGGTCGACTATATATTAAGGAATGACTATAACATTAACGTTTATACTCAAGGTCCAAAGATATGACAAAGGTTGCAGACCTATACCAGGATAATTAAGTCATCATAGGGACCTTTAAAACTTCGTAATACTAGCGTATGATAACGTTTAGACTCGACATGATGCAACAAATTATTCTGCAAACTCATGCCCGAAAGCAAGGTAACACACGCAGTTGTCTAGACGTTATACTGAGCTGTCAGTGCCATATGCAGCTGGTGTGCAAATGTAATTATGCACTTCTAGCCAGAAATAGACTTAAACTGTACTTACAACTTAAGAGTAGGTCATAAGTAACCGAGGCGAGGTTTAAAACGTCAAGATCTGCAGCGCAGTTCGCAACACATGACCGCCGGTCCAAACTTACTTTTTCCGACCTTTGACCTGAGGGCAGCAAACGATTTTCAGAGTCCTTCTACGTTCTTGCCCAATATAGTATGTTGCATTCAAAAACCTTCAACACACAACACTGCAAAAATATATTGATATTTTTCTAGTTAATAGTTTCTGTTAACCTTGTTTCTTTTAGCAGCTGTATGAATGTGTGTGGTAACATTGTTTTGCTGCCCTCGTATCTTGTGACAAGTGACCTCAGATGACCTAGTTGTTGTTGGCAGCTGATCCATGGGTGTGTAACTGTGTTACACTTGCATGAATATAACGGGCACCAACGTTTAGATATATGGGTAAATTTACATCCCTGTCTGCGTAGGTGGGTGTTTCTTACCAATTAATCTGTTATAGAAACCCAACATCATTCGTATGCATCAATATAACGTTAATTAAAACGTTAATCTATAATTTAAACGGGACCTACAGATTGTCCTGTAACCTTGATGTAACGTTAACAGATATCTACTAGTAGGGTATCTAGGAGCAACGACATAATGTCCTTGCTAGGAGAGACACATACAATCATAAGAGAGACTTAGACACGCAAAAATGTCTCCATGATAAGATTGTCGCAGTTGTGTCATTGTGTATTACATATACATGTCTGTTCTTTCACATCTGTTGTCCCTGTATATAGTAAGGAAGAATGGCGTCCACCATCCTCATCATTTCTATGTCCGTTGCCATGGCAGCGGTGCTCCTCCTCCAATGGAGCTGGGTCCAGACTCTGCTGTCCGTCCTATTGTACGTGGTAATCTCCCTCACAGGCCTGGTGCTGGGCTTTGCCCTGGTGGTCACCAAAGGTAAACAGACCCGCACTGTGCCTCCTCCATACCAGCCTAACATGGCCAACATCCTGCTCACAAAGATGATGCAGAGAGACAAAAGCAAACCTGCCTCCTCCCAGAGAACTGTGGTATCGCGTAACGTGGACCAAGCTCTGCAGGAAGTCTTCGACCTGGTGCTGAGAGACTATGTTGTCATATGGTTTGAAGACCTGTGCCAAAGCCAGGAGCGCTTTAAAGAGCTGCTGATGGAGGACATTTGGTGCGTCGTCGGGAACAGCAAGATCAGACTGGCAAACCTGGACACGGTGAAGCTTCTGACCTGCGACGTCGTCAACAAGCTGTGCACGCACTTCCAGGTAGTTCAAAGCGATAGTTACAATAAGTTTGTTTTGTTTCTCCTTTGGTTTTTCTCTTTCCCTGACATGTACATATGTTTAAATTGAGTTGACTACCTCAAGTTGATTTTATCTGCTTTGTTCATTCATTCATTCAATCATTCATTCACTTATTCATTCCAGGACCTGAGTCTGTCGGAGGTGAAGCCGGGGCTGGACCTGAGCGCCCCCTTCCTGCTGCAGTCGTATCTGCAGAGCGAGGAGAGGGAGGTGTCGTTCCTGAGGCAGTGTAGCGAGGTGCTGCTGATCTGTCTGCTGCCGGCCAAACATGCCAGGTGTAACAGTGTCAGGTACCTGCTCAGGGAGGTGCTGGCCTGTCAGGTAGGTTATAAAAGATTCTTTGTTGACTTGACAAAAGTACAGGGACTTTCGTATGGTGTACTACAACTAAGATCAAACAGAACTAAATACATAAGTGAATTTATACATGTATGACCTTGGTTCATTGTGATTAGTGAAGGTAGAAGGAAGGAATTTGAAGAATGGAAGGAAGGAAGGAAAGGAATAGAGGAAAAGAAGGGAGGAAGGAAGGTCTTTGTCAGGGTGTACAAATTAAGACAGCGATTGATCAAGATTCATTGAATAAGACCCATTTGTCTTCAATATGCAATGAAAGATGTAGAAATAACAAATTTGATTCTCCTTTTCCTCAGGTTTTTAAACAGGTCATTGACCTCCTGTGTGACCCTGACTACATCAACCAGACCCTGCTGAACTTCCTGCAGTACCGGGAGAAGCTGGCAGAGGAGCACAACAAGGCCTACATGTACGCCGCGACCTACGAGGAGTTTGTCAAGATGATCAACCAGACAAAGGAGATTGAAGCACTGAAGGAAATCAGGTAAATCACTGTACTTCTATCAGTGCAAACCAAGAGAGAAGTTTGGGTCATGGGGAGAAATTGACATCCAAAAAGCTCTTCCTCAGTATTACTAAAGGGATGATGATAGCATAGTTTCAACTGAAGTCTGGTGTGTTATGCCGAAGGGGGTTATACTGGCTATACAGAAGTCTCTGATTATTCTTCACTCCCTTCTTTAGCTTAAATAATCTAGGTCAAGCTCTAATTTTCACAATAGAATAGATGAAACCAGGTTAGTCATTTTGTACGTCGGAAAAGCTTCATTGTTTTCTGTGTCTTATAGAATCTGTTCGCTTGTTTTCCCAGATACCGCACCATGACAGAGATCATGCAGGTGACAGCTTTGATTGATCAGCTCACAGCAGACAACGAGGGCTCCTCCACAGGGAAGAAGAAGAAGGTGAAAAACCTGAGACGGTACGTGAACCAGTGCAAGTATGCTAAGGAACTGTGCGAAAAGAGAATCCACCTGCTAGGGGGTCCAGAGTACAAGTCTTACGAGATCAAAGAAGAGGGAGAGTCTGACGTCACTGATAGCATACACGAAGAAGAGTTGAAAGAAGAGAGCCAAGAAGAGTTACAAGGTAGTGAATTTCAGCACAACACATCAGGGACTTGGGAAGAGATGAGCGAAAAGGACGAGACGGATTCCACCTCAGGTGAACAAGGCTTCAACGATCCACAGGCCAAGCTGGAGCGCCTTGACGAAAAACTTGCGGCAAAGCTTCAGGAGTTACGTGATGCAAAGGACGCTCTCAGGCCAGACGGCAAGGCCATTGCAAAGATTGAGCATGAGGTGAATGACATGAAGACGGAGAGACGACAGCTGGAGTTCCACATCGAGCGGACCGACCAGTGGTGGGACATGATTGGCCGATGGAGGGCCAACATCTGCAATGCCGAGTTCATTGTGAATGAGGAGAAGATCGAGCCGTTCTTTGTGATCGTTGTCCACATCTCTGGCGCCATTGCGAGTACCGATGAGTCCACGACCACGGGATGGGTGGTCATGCGGAACCTGTCCGACTTCCACGCCCTCCACAAGCGGCTGAAGGAGTATCGCAGCTGGCTGCGGGACAGGGACCTCCCCTCCTCCATGCGCTGGTTCCGCGCCACCGACAAGGCCTTCCTGGACAAAGCCCGCGCAATGCTCGAAGCGTACCTGAACGAAGTCCTAGCCGACGAGACCCTCTGTCAGAGCCAAGTCCTTTTCTCCTTCCTCAGCCCAAGTCCTGACCACCTGAAGGGGAGCGTACGAGACAAGAAGACTCGGTTCTCCATCACCACTCTACTCAAGAACCTCCCAGGAGGAGACTTACTCCACAAGCAGGCGACAGTCCACGAAGGCGAGGATCTCGAAGACACCATAGAAGACGGTGACGGTCGCGATGGAAAAGACTCCATCGCCGAACCCCTGTACACCCTCCTGGGGGAGATATTTGAACTAAGAGGAGTCACCAAGTGGCTGAGAAGGACCCTGATCGCGTTCGTTCAGGTCACATTCGGAGCAAGCATCAACAAGCAGGTGCGTGAGAGTGTGGAGTGGCTGTTCTCAGAGCCCATGCTGGTCTACTACATCCACCTGTTGAGAGACTCCCTCTGGCCAGGAGGCAAGCTGGCTCCTGCTGCACCAGACAGAACAGAGGAGGAGAAACTGCAAACAAAGCAACAGGTGCACAAACAGAGTTATCTTACATCCTTGCATGTCATACTTAGACACTTAGATACTTAATTGTCTCAATTAGCTATCATATTAAAGCAAGCTTTCATAGTAAGAGGTTGTTTTTACCATTAAGGAAAATCTTGGAAGGAAAGTTTTAACTTCATACTATCTAATAATAAAGCCAAGCTCCCATAGGAAGAGGTTGTTGTTTTAATTCTACATGTAGTTTTAGATTTGTTGTACCTGAAATTCATAAAAACACATTAAAAATTAATCATTGCCCTTCCTTGCAGGTGAAACAGAAGCTCCTGGACAACATGCCTGACATGTTGCAGAGCCTGGTGGGGCAGCAGAACGCTCGCAGGGGGGTCGTCAAGGTGTTTGAGGGTCTGCAGGACAAGACCATCAACAAACACCTGCTGTACGTGCTGCTGGAGATGCTCCTGGTGGAGGTGTGTGTGGAGCTCAGGGATCCACAGCTGCTGGCACAGGTGGCAGAGGCAGCCAGGATCCAGGCAGAGACTGTGGCCAACACTCAGGAAGAAGAACCTCTTTAGAAACATCATCATCATCATCGGCCGGCTGCAGTGTAGGCGGCTTAAAAACAGTCTCAGTCTCTTGCAGTTTTCAGAATCTAGGGTTCATGTTTCAATCCGATCCTGGGAACTGTCTGGGCGATTGGCCCTGAACAGTGCATCCTCATTTTGTGTGGTAGCTGATAATAAACTGTAGTACTGAATCAATGCATTGCTGCAATATTAAACTTATGCCACTGAGAGGTTGGATATGTCAAGTTTGTAGTATACATTGCAAACCTACCATCACTTCTGTGTAACTTCATTTTGTAAAACAAAAAGAAATACTTGAAACCTGTATACATGTACTTCCAATCGTACAAAGAATGAGTCTGTCATAGGCCATTTGAAGACTTTTCCAGAATATGAGGAGATAAAACTTAGGGCTTTGAGCTGATTAGTCATTTTGTTTACACAATATACCACTAGCTCAAATTTTCTTTACACAGTTGAGTTGTCAGCAATGTTTAAAGTCAGTAGGTTATATGTCCTCCCTTTTGCAAATAAAAAACGTTCATACTGTTCAAAAGTAAATGACATGTTTCTATATTAAAACAACACATCAGGTTATCTTCTGATCTGGAATAAAACAATAAATCTGAGCATTGTCTTGTCTCCTCTCTTCATATTTATCTAAGCATGCCAGGATTCTGCTCAATCGACAATCACGTAAACCTTAGATCATACGAGAAGAAATGATACCTATATTGTGCTAAGTTTACTGTTAACTATTACAACGTCCATTTGTCACTGAACAACTTTGAAAAAATTTTTAATCATTGTACAAATGGGTTTGATTCAGTGGGACATATAAAAGGAATGAAATACATCATGATCACTGCATCAAAGGAAAAGACAAAGCAATAAATCAGAGCGTTGTATTTTCCCCTCTCCGCTTCATACCTATATTCCGTCCACCTGCCGCCCTGGCAACAGACAAATTTGCCGATGAAAACCGACAGAGGGCAACACAACATCTTTTTTTCTCCATTTTTTTTTTTACAAAATCGGGCGAAAATTGCGCTCGCTGATGATGCATTCGCTGATGATGCCACCCATAAAAATTACTTGCTGTGGCCTAAGAAACAATTGTCATCATGTACAGCTATAGATGCTGCCAAAACTTGAGAACATTTAATTTCTCCTCTTTATGTCTCTACATTTTAGATTAATTTCCCTGGAACAATAATTTTTCCCTTACATCTAAGCTTCCGCGATTAGTTGCGTACTAGAGACGATGGCTAGCTTTTTATCTCGGCCGCCTGAGCGGCCGAGGTATTGTGCTCCAAAATATGTACGTTGGATGGATCTTGATTGAAATCTTGATTTCGACCGTGAAAAAAAACCCAATGAAACCAATTACTATGCGTGTATACTTTACTTTGTGGGGTCGAGCTACCGGATGATAGTGTCGTTATTCTTATACAACGAAGTTGCTAAAAAAGAGGAAATGCTGTTTACCACAAAACCATTGTTTTATATCATAGTATGCATTTAAGGTTCTAGAATTTCGCTAATAGCTGCGGTAATTGGACCAATAAATCAATGACATAAATTATGTACATTAACCTTCCATATTTGCTTAAGTCGCAAGATGTCGCTTTTGATTGGTGAATAAATCACTGTGACGCACGTAAATATTCACTTGAAATGAGAAATTACCGCCCAACAAAACGGACCATTAGATTCCCAGTGCTGTATTACTCTTTTGTTCTTGTGGTCAACTTGTTTTCTTTGCTTGAATCGCGTAAAAGACCAAGGAAAATACAATGAAATCGGCAAATTATCGCCGAGCCGCGCCGTATCTGCCGCCGCCATCTTGGATTTTTTTGGAAAGCTGCAATTTGGCCCAAACCGCTAGAGGGGGCGAATTAAAATGTTTAATATATTCGGTCTGAAGTTTTAGTAGCTCTAGCAGTAGAGGAGAAGTTTGATAATGCATAGAACGGATAAAATAGAATAAAATTAAATGAAATAAAATAAAACAGAATAAAAAATAAAATGAAAAATAAATAAAAAATAAATAAAAATAAAAAAATAAAATAAAATGAAATTATTGTAGTGGTTACATATACTTAACGTTATATTGTATTTAGCAATGATCATTTAGCAAAAAATTCGGTACTGAAACTCCGGTATTCAGAATCAGGTACAGGTACAGGTCCGGACCTGGACCTGATCCTCTGGACCTGGAAGAGCCGAACAGGTACCCACCCCTATTGCTAGTGGTGTAATATGGCTGTAATGTCGACACTGTTTGTTGAGTACTAGTACAGTATATTTATATTCCTAATCAAAAGTAACAGTGAAAGATTTGCCCATACATTGGTATTGAAATAAAGAGCACATTTTAGTACCGTTCACCTGTCAATTTGGTCATTTTCCGGGGGGTACGTTTATTCCGGAGGGTATGTATATTAGACTTTGAAGATTTGTCCGGGGGGTATGTTTATTCCGGGGGGTATGTTTATTAGGGACATGAGAGTAGTATGCATTAAATGTTATAAAGATTTGGTAATAACTGCTGCAATTGCACCAATAAACCAAGTTTAAAAATTACGTTTTAATATTACCTTGAGACATCTGAATAAGTCAAGACGAAGGTTATGGAAGTGCACTATATTCCTCGGTCGCAAGATGTCGCTTTTGATTAGTGGCCTGAATGGAATTTCCCATATCGAAGATCCCGGATGTAACGCATGAGGCTGCTTAGGTATTTACTTAGCAAAAATAGCAAAATATCAGGAATTATAAGGGTATTAGGCATAGAGCCATAGGATAAAAATGGAGCTAAAGATACTACGGGCAAGGGCAATCAATTACATTGTGTTTTATTCGTGCTGTTGAACAGATTTAAACAGAGTTACGTTATCGCCCCCTCCCCCCCCCCGTGAAAAATTTATGAATTCGTACAACCTAACAATATGTTAGTGCATTAAGCTTGATAACGTTTGACAGCTCTGTTATTGTAGCCACTCCATTTTGTGTTGTCTCATGAAGTTATACCAAAATAAACATTTCACTTTTGACACATGCATCTTTTGCTCTTTATTCATCAGTATTGTCCAGACATTACAATTTCAATGAAACATACAGATGAAACATAGTTCCTCTGTAATATACAACATGACACTACTGATTCCAAAAAATGTCTTCCCCATACATAGAGCTGTGTAACCTACTCTAACAGAGAAATTAGCTCCACATACATATCCTAAACTCTTTCCTGTCTCTCAAATCTTCAATCACAAATGAAAATCTGTATCTCCACCTAAACATTTTCCCTCCCAACATCTGCTTCGAGATTAATATTTTTCACTAGTTCCATTGAAGCAAATGATAATGGAAGCCAATTTATTACCCTGTTTGGTGTTACAGGTATGAACATACTAGGTAATACATTCTTTCCTCTCTAGCAGTTACACAAATCTATGTGGACATCCTCAAAGAACACAAAACTACATGGCCAGCGGCCGAGATAAACTTTTTTCAAAAGTCTTGTTCATATTGTTCTATTCTGTGTGCTACCGCCTTCAGTACACAACAAAGCTCGGCGGTCAATCGATCTTGAACGGGTTATTCGGTTCAGAGTCGACACAAAGGAGGCAGTGTACACCTGTCAACGTAATTTAGGAAAGGACTGTCTAGATCTTGTCTTGATGTGTATTATATTCGTGGTTTCTAGACCCTCGGCTTTCATGGGCCGAGGTACTGTTACTTTGAACAAGGAGGTTTAAACCTTTGCTTTGAAAACTTCGTGATCAGCAAGTTTGAAAACCAAGGAGGTTCAAAAGCATTCAAAAGAAAGCCCTCCCATAAAAGTTACCACTAAATATTCCAAGTTTTCTTGCATATCATGGAAATATTAAAGTATTTTAGTATCAAGCTATCCGGTTTGAACAGTCAGGCCAAAGTACTAAAGGTCACTTTATTCCTCCAAATCGCGCCTTTGTTGGGGTCACAAATTAACTTCTGTAGACTTTCAGAACAAACCACCGGTTGCGTTACATAACCATTACGTCATGTTGTTGAGACGGGTAAACAGCGCACCATTAAAGCGAAAACGTGCCGCCCGCGCCTTGGATCGACCTCTCCGGTGAACTGCCATCAATGAGTTAACTAGTTAACCATTTAAACTAACCCAGAGCGAACCTTTAACCAGGGCACTGTCGACCAATCAGGCGCGGCGGCGCGAATCACGTGGTTTCGTACATTCCATCATTCTTTTCATACTTTGCTGGCGAGCTCACGACAAAGTTGCAAGACGGCAGAATTCCCCAGGTCCTAGGGCGGAAGAGGGGTGGCTAACCCGCCGAATTCTAGCTGGGCAAGGTGGAGAAATTTCCCAACAAGCTACAGGTATGTGTTATCCCTCGCTTGCCGGTTGTTTTACGCCGCCGTGTGCAGTGTTTACAAGTCGTTCGCGGTCCGCGATTCGCCACTACATCCGTATCAACCATGTTGCACAGCGTGTTTGCTTATGCATTTTGCAACATGTTTGAGTCACGTATAAAAAAACTCCGTGTTCCCCCGACCTATAATTTCTGTGCCCTGTTTCAGGTGCTCTGCCCCCGATGGAGACGCCACTAGACGTGTTATCCAGGGCTGCGTCCATGGTGGAAACGGACAACGGCAAAGCCGAGGAGGGACAGGACAAACCGAGTGAGTTGGCTCCTGAATGCCGTAACATATTTGTGTTGGGAAATATGTTGCATTCTTTACCCACCACCCCTCCCGCGAGTCAGGTGGGAGACTTCTGATTGGTCAAGCGGAGTGATTCAATTTTTTTTATTACGTAAGAGGACATTCCTGGGCCGTATGGATCTTTGAAAAAATTACTTGACGTAAAATTAATTACATATTTTCATTTTTTGTAATTAAATGACATAATGTTAATACACATTCCTGCACTGACTGTATTTTCAGTCTAGACATGATCACCAATAGAAATATTTCATTTTCATGGAAGATCTATCTAACGTTATATTTTTCAGAGGAATTTTATTTTGGACGATCTATGATGCTGATCTATATTTAGTATCTATGATGCTGATCTATATTAGTATCAAATACAGGACTTGATTAGCTTTCTTCACTGTATGAATGTAGGAGTACAATGTATGTGTAAAAAGTACACTCAACAGTTCTATTGATATCCCTAATGCGTATTGAAGATATATTATTTTTTGACAATTCTAGCAGATAGCTAGGTTTGGTATCGGTTTTACTTCTCAAGTGAAGTGAAGTATAATCCTATACTGTATAAAGATTCGTCTGGGCATTATCCATGCATACTTCTGCTCAAGGCAGATCTTTGAAGGAAGGTTTTGCAGATTTTCTAGCCATAACTGTGCAAGGTCTGGTTTCAAGGTTATCCGACAAACAACTAGTAAGCTCTTTCCAGGAATTTCAGACATGATTCACTGAGGGTGTGTAAGTTCTTTTGTCGTGGGCAACTTAAAGATTCAACTTGCCGGGGCTGTTTACGGGAATAAGGCTGCAGTTGTCACGCTCCATTGTCAGTCCGTCAAGATATGCCTCCAGGACTTGTAG